TGTCCCCCCGGCATGTTGCATCCTGCGTCTCTGCCGCTTTGAACCCACCTCCCACATCGCCCCGCAGCCCCCCGAGGGGTGGCCGCAGCGGGTGCCCTCACCCTGCAGGCCCACCAGCCCTGCCCCATGGCACCATCCCTCCTGCCGGCACTCACCATCCCGGCCACCCCCCGCAGCCCCTCCGGCCAGGGTGACCCAGCTCCATTCAGAGCCACGATGGGAGCGCAGAGCCACAGCCCGTCCCTCCGCTGCAGACGCCTGACTCCTGCCTGCATCCCCCGGTTAAACACATCGAAGTGTCCCCAGAGAGCCCTGCCCTGGCGACCCATGCACAGAGGAAGGGGACTCGGCCCAGGACTTGGCTCTTCTTCCCCCACACCCTTCAGGAATGACATGACTAGACAGACCCGCTCGCAAATCGCTCCCCGAGAGCTCACGCACACGCTGCTAACACCAGAAGCTACCCTGTAATAACCCACTGTCCATATCATTACGATTAATTACATATTAACATACCCCATAATCTTAACTGCTGCTAAGTCGCATCTTGAGGGGGTGCGAGCGGCTTTCAAAAGCCACCTGGCTGGTTCTCCTCTGGCTCTTACACCACCTGCCCAGGGAGAAGGGCTGGAGGCCACGGCAGGACTAGGATCCAGCGGACGGCTGCGAGGATCAGGGCTGGGACAGGCAGGAGGATCAGCAGGGCTGGAGTCACAGGGAAGGCACCGCTCTCCCAGCCGCCCCATGTTCCTGGGGAAACGCGAGAGCTCCTAACACGTTACACAGGACCACCACAGAACCACAGAATCACAGAATAGTAGGGGTTGGAAGGGACCTCTGTGGGTCATCTAGTCCAACCCTCCTGCCGAAGCAGGGTCACCTACTGCAGGCTGCCGTGCCCAGGCGGGTCTTGAATATCTCCAGAGAAGGAGAATCCACAGCCTCCCTGGGCAGCCTGTTCCAGTGCTCCGTCACCCTCAGAGGGAAGAAGTTCTTCCTCATGTTCAGACGGAACTTCCTGTGCCTCAGTTTGTGCACCAAGTGTTAAGTGGCTCGAAGCAACTCCCTCCCCAATGCTGGGTTTCATCCCTGTGGCAGCAAGGAGCCTTGCACAGCCTGCGGGACCCGGACTGTGCTTTTGGTGCTTGTGACATTGGGTGGGACTCAGCTGCATGAGAGGCAGCAGTGGCAGCCCTCGCTGGGGCTGGTGCAGGGGCTCGGCCACCTTGCTGTTCAGGCAGCCCATGGGGTCGGCAGCTCATCCCACCCAGACCCTCGGGCATCAGAAGAACTCCCCAGATTCCTGTACCTTCCCCATGCCACCACCCTCAACCGTCCCACCCACTGGCAGCAAGACCCCGAGCATCCCTAACCTCGCACTCCTCCCAGCCCCTGAGCTTGCTGAAGGTCAGAGTGATTTCATTCTTCCACCAAGTCAGGGAAATCTGAGAAGCAGCACGGGGCAGGTAATGAGTGCTGTTTCTCGCCCCAGCAGCGCGGGCATCTCCCACAGCCATACCTCCTTGCCCTGCCGCCGCCCGGCTCACTGCTGCTCAGCCAGCACGCACAGCCCTCGCCCCACGCCACAGGGCAGGGGAGGCTGCTGCTCTGAGCCCCTTTCTGGAGCTACCTCCTAAAAACTGCGCCAATTCCACATGCAAGGCACCCTCAGTATCAGCAGCATGGCTGGCACTGGGTCTGTGCTGACAGAGAGGGCGTTTCTCCTTTCGATTCTCATAGGGGTAAAACATACACAGCATCCTCACCAAGACGAAACTTCAGGAGGAAAGCAAGGCTCTTCCAGAGAGGCAGAGCCTTCACCATTTCACCTCCAAGGCAGCACACCACCTTCCATCCACGATATAGCTCCAGCCAAAAAAAAAAAAAAACCAACACAAAACACAAGCTGGAAAGAAGCCTGGGGCTGGCTCTGCCCCGAAGCTGCAGCCGTTTCATGTGGCTCCAACGCCTCTCGCCCGGCAGCTCGCACTTTCAAAGAACGGCTTGCATGCACACAGGCACACAAAACACACTTAATGAGTGTCTCGCATCCCACTGTGTGTGTTCTGACACAGCCCCAATTGCCAAGGAAAAAAAAAAAAGCGTGTGTGTGTGTGGATGGATGGATATACAAAGGCTTTAAAGAGGACATTGCTTGCATTTTTACAGCTTTGTTGAAGGGTTTTGGTTGGTTCTTTTTTTAATATAAAAGCCTAAAGTAAACATAATCCAAAGAAAGGGGTTTTTTTAATCTTTAATACTTTACTTACAAGTGTAACACCTGTAGAGCTCTGACACTCCCCAAGGAACGTGTTTTACAGTAACTTTTTGAGACTGAAAGCAGGCAACTGCTGAGAAAAACATTGCTACTGGCTAGTATTACAGACGCTGCCAACAGGAGTATTCTTTCAGAAAGCGAGAGGATTAAGCCTTTCAGGGAAGTCTATCACAGAATCAACATGGCAGCTTTTCAAGCTTTAGCTCTCAGGTGTTCCCAGCCGTAACACGCTGCCTGCGTGGTGAAGCCCTCTCCCTGGGCAAGCCGGGCACGGCAGGGGCTCACCCGCCACCGCACCGGCGCGGAGCTGGGCAAGATGGACCCTTGTGCTCTGCACAAGGATTCAGCTTGTTATGGAGTAATGACAATGAAGTTTTATTTCTTTCCTGCAAGTAAAACAAACGGGGAATCTAACACACCGACCATGGTGCCATGTTTGAGCCTTTCAGTGAACACAAATTCTCACTGCTGGTTTCAGCTGCACAAACAGCCATCGTTCAGGACAGTTCTCACCTCATCAAGGCAAGCTGTAGTCCTCCAAGGAGGACTTCTGCTCACATTTTGTCACCTGCAAGATATATATGCCTGCCTGGTATGTACGTTCACTGGGTGGCTTAAAACATCTGAGTTTGCAAGCCTGCTGCATGCCAGTCACTTAAAAAGAAACGATTCTATGCAACCGAGATTTGGGGACCATGGAAATTCTCAGCAGGAGCTGGACATCTACCCGTCCTTCTCAAATCCAAGAGCTAATATCAGCACATATTAAACGATGTATTAAAACTCACAATTCACCTGCTGCCATAGCAAGCCCTTCCTAGGCCAGATGCATGGATTGTAACAAGACCTTTGAAAGAAGCAAATCGCATCACATCTGCCGGCTGTCAGGTTTTTTTGGTTTTCTTTGAATTATCAGGTCATTGCCATCATCAGAGACAAGATACTTACCTGGAAAGCCCAAGCAACCGCGACAACTCTTCCACTCCTCTAAAGCATCCCCAGTTTTAACTGTGTTATAATAAACGGCTCCATTCCTTTGGACCAAGTCAGAATTGGACTCTCTTGACCAGCTGGTTACCCAAATAAAACACCCACTGCAACACATTTGCATACATCTATGAAAGGAGAAAATATAATCACTTTATTTTCAGTATACAGACTAAATCGCACCATAAAATATAGATGGTGAGTGAGCACACATGAATAAAATACCCCGCACTTAAAAAAAAGCCCACTTTTGCCACTTCTGCTGAATCCACCATTTGCCATGCGGAGCTCACAGCTCTCCAGCGTTGTTTCCAAAAGCGGCTGCAGTACTCCCAAGAGCAGCGCTCCATCTACTACAATTCAAAAAACGCTCCCAGCTTGCATGTAAGTGCTACATTTTCCTGTATGCCTTGAAATACTAGTTAGGTACAACACTATTTCATCATCTCTGCTCCCAAACTATGTCAGGTCCCCCCTTCCACCAAGGCAAGAAGAATTACTTCTGCAACGAGGTACAATCAGCAAGTTGTAGCAATAAACTCTTCAGAGGTGCAGAACGATGGCGTACTGCGATCTGCAGCACATGAATATGCAGCACGGACAGCAAGACATAAATACTGACGAGTTGTACGCACACGCATGCACACAGTCACCTCCCTACAGCTTTCTCCACGCTGTGACTCCTGCCAATGTCATATGCTTTTCACAGGGGGAAAAAAAAAGCCCTTCTCAAATTGAGCCCGTTTAAAGCTGCCAACAAAATCTGATTCCATGTGCTATCAATGGGCATGTTATTGCTTGTAGTAAAGCGGAGAAGATTTGAACCTACACAAGAGACTTGCCTGCAAAGCACAAAGGGCACCAGTGGCCCCTGAGCAGTTCTACAAACCGATCATTGCAGCAGGTATTTCCCACACCCTCCACACCAGCGGTCGGCTACAATACTCTGTCGTTCTAAACACGTCGTACCATCCTCTAGAAAACACAGGAGGTGTCTTCTCTGACTCGTATTTAAATACACAAGAGCAGTCATCAGCAAGAAGCCGTTACAGTTAATTTTACAAAATTCATCACGTTTCATCTTCGCTCGTTCATCGATAAGCGGGTGACCTGGGCTGTGACGGCACAGGCCAGCAGCGCCTCATCCTCTCAACACCCACGTCAACGGAAGAGGAGCTGACGCTACTGCAAAGATGTTTTACACACCCATCGAGCAGACACATTCTCACTGCACTTTCAGGCTGCCAGTGACCTACCTCGCCCATGGTGAACCCGACCAAAGTGTTTAAGAATCCAGCCTTTACATTTTGCACCTCTAATTGAATGTAAAGTTTACAACTGTCTTTAAGGAGTAATAAAGCAGCTCTTGGGATTTCTTTCAAGCAAACACTGATTCAAAGGCTCAGTACAAACTCACCAGCCCATTCTATACGTCCAGCCAGTCACTGACAACAGCTCCCTAGATCTTCTCCTGAAGTTACACACCGCACAATCGCTTTCTTTGCTAAAGCATCCTGACTAGAACCTTGTTTTATAGCCTCTCTTGCTGACTATACTCTTCAAATCAGTTCTGACTGCAAATTCTATCCCTAACTTAATCTTACCAATTTTATGATATTCGCTATTTCCTGTCTACTGGTGCTCCAGATGCAACACTACCTCTAAAAAGATACAACTTCCAGCAGGTGATCCAAACCAGCTCCGTTCTCAGACAGCAGACTGGTGAAGGCAGGCTGCAGATTGCAAAGTCTCCAAGCTTTCCATACCATGAAGTGAGGTAGCAACAAGCAGCCTTTGAAACACCATTGTCTCCGTATTTTTCCCTAGTATTAAATCCCTTTTCCACACAATTTAGTGAGTAAACTAGAGGCTTCTCTGGAGCAGTGGAAGAAGAAAAGAGATGGTAAATAAATAACGAATGATAAGAAGAACTAGGCCAATAGTTTTGCAAAAAGTTTTCCTTTTTGGTACCAGCACTGCGCCCTGCTAGTTTTCAGGTGGAGAGAAATACAAAAACACTTCAGTCTCTGTGAGTTTATAGTCCAAGTGACTTCTGCACAATCTGCTTGGCAATTTTATTAAATTGTTCTCTGTCTTCCCGCCACATCTTGGAGGCGTCTACATTGGCTCCACTTTCATCATTTGGCTCTGAAACGAGAAAGACTGAAAGATAGGTGGGCAGGCAGGCAACGGAGCAAGACCCTCTCGCTTTTTCAATAGTGCCTCTGTACTGCCACTTCCCCGTGGCTTTGGCACGCTTCCCCTGCTTGAGACTACAGAAACACCACCAAAGAAAATCCAGCGACCGCTGCTGGATTCCCAAACGGTTCCAATTTAACCGATCACAAGAGAATATCACAGCAAGGTTAGGTAAGATTAGGTAAGAACAAGTGGCAGAGGAGCAAGACTTTCTTTTGCTTATGCTTTCAGCAGCTGAGCCCCAGCATGCACACGGAAAAACACAATGCGGCACCACCAGTGCTGTCAAGGGTTTTCAAAACTGCACACTGCTCCCTGCAAAATGTTTTTTCTGGTTCTGCGGCTTAACAGACACAAAGCGCTCCCGACCAGGCCACCCAAACAGGCTCTGTCACTCTTTGGGATGGCTTGTTCTATTAAAAAACAATAAAACAAACCAAGAAAACCCATAGAATGCTTTCATTTCTGCAACATCTTTCATCCAAGGATTTCCGAGCGCTTTACAAAGTACATCATGCCCCTGTGATTCCACCATTTCATTTTGTACAGAGGTAAGCTGAAACATGGGCTTTATCAGGTTCGTGGTCAGCATTCAGGGGGACAACTGTCATGGGATTACACAAGTCACTAGGACAGAACATACTCTAACCATTTTGCTTCACACACTAGTGCAAATCCACCCCAGCCCAGTTCACGGCAGACATCTTGGGCTCACGTTTTTCTCAACACAACACTGATGGCCAACCCTTAAGAGCCAGCAGATGTGCCAGTCACCCAGTTTGGTAAGCTTGGGCTTATGCTAGCTGCAGAGTCATAGCTGCGAGTTTGCCAGCAGCCTGAAAGAAGCTGATCATTGATGCATTAGACTAATTCATCCAAAAGCCATGGGAAAACAGGATGCACAGGCAGAGAACAGGACCAGTGACTCCTACATTAACCAGTCGAGGTAAAGCTGCACCACAAACCAAGTTCTTGGAGGCCAAGGGAAGCCCAGAGAGGTACTGTTTGTCTGCACAGCTTCCCAGCAGTAGGTTACTATTCCGAAGCTACAATGCTCCCATGTAAGAATCTGTTGCTGGCTCTATGATCAACTTTGCTGCTTCTAAACCCTCTAAAACCTTTTATCATTCAAAATTGATTCTAAGAGACATGGCTCTGCCATTTCAGGCAGTTCAGTGGAATGTCCACGATGTGGAAAAGGAACCATCTTTCAGGGAGCTGTACATGACAGAGCTGATCCACAGCCCTTGATGGCTCTAGGGAAAGCCATTTAAAAGGCTGCACAAAAAATTCTTCACCCTACCCCTCTTCTCAAGAGGTCTTCCTCTAAATTAGAGACGGCAGAATGGGGTACATTCCCAGGTTGGCAAATAACTAACAGAAACAGAGAGTGTTGGCTTGTGAATCACAGAAGCCATGGACTCCAGTTTACCGTACTGGTTAGATCTGGCTGGTAACCTTTCAGCTGCCAGAGCCAAATCCAACACAAGCTGCAATCAATAGCTTTAAAATGCACAAGAGCCGAACAGACACCACAGCAAGCACAAAGGCGGAGCACAGGTTTTGTCCAGGAGCAGGGACCCAGCAGAGCCTCCAGACCCACCTGCCCAGCACCATCTCTCCACGGCTGCTGACCCGGAAGGAAAGCAGCGCAGTCACTCGCAAAGCTGAAAACACCTGTTTGCTAACTCAGTCCTATTTTTTTTCTATTATTTTCAGAGAACGGGGCTTTAAGAACTGTGGTTGCTACTAAGCAGCTTTAAATGTCCTTTGTTCACTTAACAAATCAAACAGCAACAATCAGCTCTAGCTAACTCAGTAACTGCCATCTGAGCTACTGCTAATAAAACAGTGGTCCTTACCTGCCAGCATGCTAACAACCGACAAGAGGATCTTTTCCACACTCTGCACGGGACTCCACCGCTCAGCACTGCTCTCATATCCCATGGGATCATCCCCAGGAGCATGAAGAATAGAGATGCAAACTCTCCCATCTGGGTAAACTGCACAAAAAGTACAAGGGATTGGTTGTTACTCAGTGGAAACACTGGCCTCTCCAGATCTTTAGCACAGATGAATGTTTGGACTTGGTTTTCGTGTGACTGAAGCTAAACCCAGTTTTAAATTTCTTCTTCCAAAGGCAAGAGGACACAAAACCCGAAAGACAAAAATGCAGCAAAAATTTCCTCTAAGCAAATTCAACAAACTTGGGTCATCCTTCCCCAACAGAAGCCTGCCAGGAGCACTTGTGCCATTTAATACCAGTGACAGGCTCCACGGAAAAAGTAAGAGATGCAGCCTGGTGGAGCAAGGCAAGTATTTATGCACAGACACAGCTCCAAGTAGGTAACCAGTCCTACTTAAATGGAAGGGTAACAGTCACACAGCACTGAATGCACGTTGGGAGTCCTCCAGTGGACTGCGACTGTAAAAAGAGAAAAACTTGCTCTGCTGCAGCAAGGAGGGAAAAGTGGTATGTTATAAACAATAAAATTGATCTTTTTTGAACATTACTGAGGTGCAACCAGAAGAGCTCACACTACTATTTCAGATTTTGCTTAAAACTCAGCTGCATTAAAGCACATGGGAACAAGGTAACCTATCAATTAAGGATGCAGTTGTCTTCCCCTCCCACCTTTCACGTAAGCAAAGAATCTGCAACAGTAAAGCCATCTTCACAGACGATGGACTCTGCTGACTTGATAACGAGGCCAAAGAAAGGCTGAAGAGGCAACACAAATAGAATGGACTTCAAAACACTGCTTTAGCAACAGGCCTAATTCTGCAGCCTCCCAAGGAATGACAGCTTCAGCCCAGTACTTTCAGTGCTCCCGTTCCTCGGGTGACCAAACCTGCGCCATTGCCAGGAAAACAAGACAAAACAACGAGAGGGAATGACCGCTGGAAGCAGTTGTGCTCATTTCCAGCTCCTTCCGTTCACCCAGCTAATGTCTGCACAAGCCTGCAACACGTAAGCGCTTTGGAAGACTTTTATTTACATCCCCTCCTGCAGCCCCAGGCTGGGGACTGGAGCTGGTCTAGCCATAGCTGCAAGAGATGAAAACAGCACGTGCTGAATCAGCACTTCTCCTTGCAAGTTAAGAACACACTGGTAGAAGGTATTTCACTTGTAAGTTATTCTAATGTTTTTATGCAGTGCCTCACTTAAAACAGCTGGACCACAGTGGCACAATCAAGACAGCAAAGGCTGATGCCAGGAAGATGTATGCATCTTCCCACTTTGGCACTAAGTGCTAATGCAAGACTTGCCATTAGTCGCTACTTCGAAGTTATCTTCGCCAGAGCACCCATGGATGTCTTTTTATTTTAAGAGAAGATAGTTCTGCGGCGTCTCAGTTCCCCCCTCTACATAACACAAACCGCAAAGACAAGGCAACACAGCAGAGTTTTTAAACATTTTCTTTGCAATTCCTCACAGATGGAGGAATAAGCACTTAAGGAACAGAAAAAGCACAGCACAGCCACCCATTTCTACAACCTTTCTGGGTATAACCACACCATCACAATCCCACCCAGGAAAAGGATTCAAGTGTCTCTTGTAGCTGATCTCAACTTTAAATTAACATGACCCAAAGTCACTGAACTTTAAAGAGCTGAGCTGACAATCCAGTATGTTCCAGTTAACCCCACAGAGGAAGCACCTATCTGTAAAGCCACTCTGTAAAACCTGAGAATCAGTCAGTTTGTGCTTCTCCGTACCATACTCCTCCTTGGCTATGCTGCACACAAAGCAGCTGCGAGCAGCGAACCTCACACCAAGGTCACAATCAGAGCTGCAGAGTATTGCATGGGCACGGATTTGCCCATGAAGACCAGTCCTGCCGAGAAGTTTGGGTGACAGAGTCCAGCTGCAGCAAGGTCTGATGCAGGCACACATCGACGCGGCTGATGCTGCCAGGTGCCAAACGCTGCACTGTCACAGACATCAGAACTCCAGAGGTGATGCTACACTATGATTGGCATGTCCACACAGTTCTGTGCTGAGACATGCAGGTGTGTCTTCCACGGGAGAATGGAAAGATGTGGATTAAATGGGCAAGAATCTGCATCTGTGGTGCTTCGAGAAGGGAAGAACAGAAGAACTTAAAGAAATCGCAAAATTCCTTGCTATAGGATGAAATAAATAAATTCCCAGCTGAGGTTAAGATTTGCATTATGCAAGTGCAGGAATGTCAGCTGGGAAGGAAACACTAGGCAGGAAGGCAGCATTTTTTTTTTCTTCCTCTCAAGTGGCAGAGACTTAACAGCCTAGAATGCAGATCCAGCCCATCGAATCTGGGTGGTGATAAGCAATCTTTAACAATCCGTGTTGATTTAGCAATGTCATAAGCAACAATTTCACAAAGAACGCCAAGGCTGACTCCAGAAAGTAGTGCTCCAGGCTGCGAAAGGGTGCTCTAAGGTTCTTCCCTCAAGCTTGTTAGCTGTACTTGTTGTTACTTCAATTACTTCCACTGAAAAGTCTTAAGATAATATTGTCACCATAAGAATTGCAGAGAAAAGGCCAGCAAAGTCTTAATATTAAATGCCTGCAAATGTGTCATCTGCTTGAACAGAACACTCTGTATTTCAGAAAGATCATATCAGGAATGTAACTAAACCTGTGACTTGATGGAGAAAAAGCCAATGGTGCCTAACAAAGCTGCATCCGCATTTCGGTGAATGTGAACAAATATTCACTTGTTTAAGTAACACTGAACTACTTAAATTCAAGCCACAGAGCAAGATGGGAAGAAGTCTGTATTAATTCACTAAATCTCACATCTTGTACAGAAGATTTATCTTTAGACTATTTATGCAATAGTTCTAAGTATTCCTGGAATGATCTTGAAGGCAGTGAAATTGTTGGAATCTGTATTGGACTGTTCATGACCAAAAGCTATATGAGAAATCATGTGATAAGGGAAAGCGCCCCTAAGACAGACAGAATTGCTGGACAGCTGAACACTCCTACTGCATACTCAAGGTTGGAAAGGGAGAGAACCACCCTTGGTGGGGATACTGGCTCTCCTACTGCAACAGTTTGCTTTTAAGGCGCACAAACAACCCACTCCCCTGTACGCCCTGCTGCGTCAGACTCACTGTTCGGATGGAACATCTCGCACGTGAACCTCATCTTCGGAGGGCTTAGCGGGTAGTCGAGTGGAAAGCTCAGAATAGCAGGGAAAACACCATACTCGAAACAGGTGTCTTCAGGACCCCTAGAAACAGATAAAAAACTATTCAACAGAGTTGTAAATAGTTCTTTCACCCCAATTCTTGTCTAATGACACATCGGAGGTTTGGGTTATATCATCTTCTCCAGAAAACAAAGAGTTAACGCACTCTTACCCCACACCTCAAACTTAAATCCAAATACGAGGTTTGGGAGGGAAGGGGGAAATCAAAGCTTGCACACTAAATTACTAGGAAGGTCACAACACTGCTTAATTAGCAGGGTGTGTCTGGATATAATTGGAGTATCTGGCTCCAAGGCATGTTCCAGGATTTGAGCGCCTGCACGTCAAGAGAAAGCAGAGGCAGGTGTGGGACTCCTGTGCCTTTGAAGATACTGTTATGCTGCACAAGACAGAGATGTCAAATGCTGTAGCTCAAAAATAATTTATAAAACCTATGCAGATTCAAACTGCCAGTATCGAGCATAACCACACATAAACACTTATCACTATCTGATGCAAAAAACACAGCAATGTTTTGTAAAAATACAAACAGAGCTCAGGGACCATAATTGCTAGACGCAGGACAACAATGTTTCTTTGCAGGCTTAAGGTATTTAGTTTGCACTCCCTCAAGTGCAAGCGGAGAACAAATGGCTTCATCAGGGTTCGTGTAGAAACATTTCCTTATTGTGTTCATCATCTAGTTCAAAGTACAATCAAGCTGAGAATGTAAAGACAACTATTCTACCCTCCCTACATAAAAGATTTTTGGAAGGTGAGCAAAAACGTTTATTAAGACATGATTTATTCAAACTAGATGAACCATCTGGAAGTTGTAACACAAACACAATCTCCCTTGACTGGAAACGATCATGAAACAAGCTTCATCACTGAAAATCTTAGCCAAGGAAACCTCATGTATTTAGTAAAAAGCTCTGGGAAAATAATGTCTGGGAAATAAGGGTTAGGAATATATTCACACCTCCTCCTCCCAATCCACACTCTCCATGCCAGAGAGAACACAAAAGTTGAAGGAGACCGAACAGTTAAGACTGCAGTTGGTAACCTGCAGAAAAAGAAAACTGAGACCAGCAAAACCTAAAGGCCTAAGAGGCTCACTGTCTTTAACTTTGGGATTCAAAAGACTTAGCTGCTAGGTAAACACAAGAACTACATGATTTAAACCTGAATATTGACACTGGCAGGTAAGATTAAAGAAATGCATCAACATACTGCAAGAATGAAAGCTAAACCATCTCAACCATTTCATTCCCTTTCTGGCCTTTTCCCCAAATTTAGTCAGGATTCAATTCACATCTGAGAGTAAACTGAATGCATTTTTTCATGAACATTTTAATTCCAAATGCATTTTAAAGGCTTATTGTTGAACTTCTAAGAGTATGTACATACAGGCACTGAAAAGCTGGTGGGTGTCTTATGTTCTGTTTTGAGAGCAAACACACAGCCTTAAGGGCTCTTCTGTCAAATACGTTAACCCAACACGCTCCATTTTAGGCCCTGTATTATGTGAGCAAAATGCTTTTGTTTTAGCCATTCATTGCTGCCAGGATTAACTTCAAAGAAATTATTAAAGTTAATCCAAGACAGCATTTGCAACTACAAAACACTCAGGAGGCCACAACATTCAAACTTGACAGCATCACTTTCAGCTCAAAAACAACATCGGCAGGGCCAGAGTCACCAACAGCACAGCACCTTTTGCAATCACACCGCCTCCTCTGCAAGCATTTCAGAGTACGCCACATCCAAAGCCGTCCCTTACGCTCGGATCTCGTCCGAGCTGCTACGCCAGCTAAAGTCCAGGCTACCCAGCACTGGATCAGGGTTCCTCCAAGCAACACCCAGACCGTGCAGGGGTGACACCTGTCCCAAAGAGCAAAGAGCACTGAGCTAGCAGGACAGCTGCCTTCAGCAGCTCCCGTACCCCACGCAAGACGAAGCACGTGCCATCACCAACCGTGTGCACACAGCAGGCACTCATTCTGCGCAGGCTTGAGGCATGTAACTCTCAGAAAAGCCTCGTCCTAAACCTGCTCCCTCTCAGACTCTTTACAGCCTCCAAAGCAGGCAGTCTCTGCATCTTTTTCCACGCACAATGCTACTCCACAGACTTCTCTGAAGCACTTAAGAGCGGACATCAGTTCTCCTCCAGCCATTATAGGGCATTAAATGACTTGCTAGACAACCAGACTGTTTAGTTGTGAGAGAGATGTTACGAACAACTCTGCTGACGTCAGACGTAGCATGAATATAAGAAACCCCAGACTCCATGAGCCAGCTATTACCTGGGCAAGGGGAAGAAAACAATGGTGGGTATCTGCAAAACCAGAGGGAAAAGCACATTGACAAGGACAATTAATTCTATAATCACAGCTTCACATACATTTGTAAATGGCTTCTTATTTGTAAAAAGATGCTGGAAAAAGACCAAAATCCACAGTCATCAGATGCTGAAAAGGGGAATTTCATGCTAAACAAAAGTGAAAAGCCTAATTCTAGATCTAATTACCTTTCTAGACAGGTTTTTGATAAGTTGACTTCAAATTATACTGTTCAGTTTTCGAGCCATCTTGAAGTTAATAAAATTCTTAACAATTGTGAGGTTTTGTGTCTTTTGGGGATAAACGTTAATAGCAACACACACTTGTACAGGCCAACCAAAGAGGGCAAAACTTGGTTAAGCTGACAAACTTGCACAACACAATGCAGCCTGCAGGACCTCATGGAGCGCTAAGGAACTGAGAGGCGTTGTGGAAAACTCTCTTGACGTGCTGGGGCTATTTATCATCACAAACAAGTCACCTTGTTGCCAAGATTTGGCTTTCATAAATCAGCTACTGTTTCATGTCTTATCGAAACGGTGCATTTTACACCAGGCTGCAAACGTCCACTGTTCAGAAAGATTACCGCATTGTATTTTCAGTTCTGGAGCTATCACATGCACTTTGGGAGCACAGGAACTGTTCTATCATTCAGACATGTCGATACAGTCTCAACATGTATCTGTTTAACATTTAGCGAGCGCTGCTGCTGCAGGCAAGAACACCGGAAATACAAATTATTACTACGATTATTTTTAAAGGAATTATTTTATCTCCGAGCCAAGCTTTTACATTAATCTGTGTAGCATTATCCAGCCCAGTTCTGAACTGACAAATGGGTGATGCCTTTTCTCTCTTAGGTGTCTTCCGTTTTTTGTATTTATTTGCCATTCCGTGTGCTCTAGCTTCATACAAATTGGGTGAAGGAAAAAGAAAGTATTCTGTTGTCTTCAATACTATCTGCACTTCATCTGTCTAAAAATCGAAGCCAACTTCAATTTCCTCAACTTCATTCCCATAATCTCACACAGCAGTTCTGAGATTCCAAAACATTCAAGACGATTATCACAAATACAAACAAGTCATTTAGCTTACTTTCCAAATGTATGCAAACACTTCTACTAACAGAGTTTTGTAAAGAGACTAAAGTAACCAAACATGTTTAGGGTAAACACGTTTCTATTGTACCACAGCTTCAGAATTCAGCAGATCTTAAAATATAATTTTATTATGACACACACACAATACAGAAACCAAAATTAAAGCACTCCGCCTCTCATTTTGTGCTGACAAAGACCTGAAGCTCAACACTCAGCACTTTAAAGGCCTTTCAAGTCTGCCAGCAGCTCCTCTGTTGTTTCAGAATTTTTACAGGAAACATCAAAAAACTACTTTCTAGGTAATGAATCAAATCCAAAAGTACTTCTGTGTTTCCCCCATGAAAGTCAACTCAACGACACAACCTCTGCTAGGACAATGTACCAACAGGCAGGAATTTCCTTCCCTATTCCAAGACGTGCAGTAAATCCTCCAGGATTTCTACACTTGAAGCAATGCACAGCTGTCTGAACTGAAATTTGGTACGTTGCAAAGCGCATGTTTCAGAAGAGTGACAACTATCCCACGTGCTGAAAGAGAAAGCGTAAGACGCTGCAGTCAAAATCTCTGGTGTCAGGCAACCAACTACCTATTTCCATGCCAAGTGTTTATTTTCAGGGGACTGAGCTACCAGGAAGTACAACCTGTTCATCACAGGATAAATTGCTGCACATAAGCTGAGGCATTTGCCAACCCTTCATACCCATCAGCAAACGAGCAGTGGTAATCCAAACCTCCATTTACCAAGGCCTAAAATAACTCGGAGGCTCATGCTTGCCATAAAGTAGGATCACCCACGCAGCCAGCGTCTGTGGAATAGCCGATACGCTGCTGCTCGGGACGCTCTTGTATTGCTTGTGTGCCTGGTCCCAGCAGACAGAAATCTTGTTTTCCGTCCACACTCCAAGCAAACCGAGCTAGGAAAATTCTGCCACCCACGCTAGTTGAGTACCTCCCAAGTCAGCGCCAGTGGTTGCAGTGAAAGCCTGCCAAGAGCACGGCAGGCATGCTGTGAGCAGAGCCACGGCCACCGCCGGCTGCCCTCGGTGTCCTCCGAGACCCCCAGGCCCTGGCCGAAGGAAAGGGAATCACCAACTCGGGGAATCTTGAAATACAGAGCTTGGATCTGCCCTAACAGCACACCATCAGCTTCAAGACAGACTCTGCTGCTTGAAGCTTCTTCATCTTTTCGTTCTATGGTGTTTGCATAAATTGTCAGACCCCAGTGACAAAGCTCTCTTTTCCTCTCCCCTACTGCTTTAGAACTTAACTTTGTAAAAACCACCAGTTCTTCCGTGCACTGAGAGTCCCCAAAGAGGGGTACAGCATCAGTAAGAGAGTACAAGCAAGAGAGAAGACTACTTCTAAGATGCTGGGCAAGAAGATTGTCTTTTCAGGGCAAGTTTTGCTATGAACAACCGCGCCCATCAGTTCAGGAGTGGAAGGGGGAGGACACAGCTTTGTAAAGAAGTCTTTGTCACCCCCCAAAACACAACCGGTAGTGATCAGAGCTATTCACCAACAGAAGAGCTTTCAATGTGGAACCACTGCACCCAGCACCAGCTCGCTCATGAAGTGTAAAGGATTTCAAAAGCACTTTTTTTAAATTTTAATACTTTCTCATATCAATCCCCTTCTATATTTCTAGAAAAAAATTGAACAGTAAGTAAACTAAATTTAGACATTGACTTTTTTTTTCCCCAATCCCTGATAATCTGTGCATTTTACTCTGCTTCAAACCTGAGAAAAACCTGTCCCGTATTTGCAGTTAAGTTCCCAAGACGTTTGTGTGACCTACAAGCAATTCCTTGTTTCCCACAGTTTTTGTATATGCAACATACATCCAAGGAAGCCCAAATGAGGATTCCTGTCTAATTTGCAAGTTACTTATGCTGAATGTTGCTTATATGATGACACCTGTACAACAAATGATCACTTCAGTCCCAATGCTGCCTCTGTCGCACTGTTTAAATTACAAATATAATTCCCTGTTTCGGTCAGAAAAGAACTTCTTAGCCAAAGGTAGGCCAAGGTAAACGTTATGCAGAACTGATACTCTTTTTTTACATTCTTGTTCTCCTAGAGGCTAACCACTGCGTGCTAGTGCTGATTTCAGATACCAAACAGTATTAACTCACATAATCAGAGCTTCCCATTCAAAGAAGTTCTCTTCATTCATGGGACCTGTTAAGAAAAAACAAAACAATGCTTAGCACTACCTGAATGTAAGGCTACAATTTCGCAGAGCACAAACCCTGCGCAGCTCCTCACCTGCTACTATCCCCTCCGGTGGGTTCAGGGTCAGCTCTGTAAAAAGAAAAACACAAGGAAGGTTAAAACGACCTGCAAGTCCAAGTATTTTGGCTAGCGTTGGTGGCTACGGCTTAGCACAGAGGCCCCACCAGCAAACACCCTTGGAGAAAGTCTTGAGACTACTATGGAAGGAATCTTCTGGCCATGCTTTACCGAGCAAAACTCCACCTCCAGAAGGCCCAGTATCTCACTGCTGACAATTCAACTTCTTCATGCAAGACAGTTTTCTAGGCAAAATTATTTGGCATTTTGTGCTTTTTCAGGCTCCCAGAACTAGTCTTCCCAGGGGCAACAATTTACAACTGAGAAGGAAGAAAAAGAAACTTTTTCCACAAAGCATGGGAAACACTCCCCTGTTGGAGCACTGCGGTATCCACGGGTGCAAACTCCACAGCCTAAAGAGAGAACGGGTTGTATTCCTGTAATCTCTCTGCACCAATTCAGACTTGACAGCATCTCAACACAAAACCCAAAACGATGCAAAAAGGTGGAGAAGCGGAGGCAAGAGAGATTTGACAAGTGGCTCTGTTCCTTGAATTTAGTTCCACTCCCCCTGCCTGGCACAGAAAACACAAAGAGAAGCAGCAATAAAGCAGCCATGGCTGCACACAGCAAGCTTGGATCCATCCACCCTCAGTTTCTCTAGGAAACTGGTACAATTCCCAACTCCTGCAATAACCTTTAGCATCAGTACCGCATTTCAAGCCTGTTGAAGCCCAGTACTCTATGCGCTGCTAAAATAATAACCAGCCTCTCTAGTATCTGTTGCAGTGACCGTCAGCTTCCAAAGCCCTGTGGGGTGGCAGCAGCTGGCGAGGCCAAGCTCAGCCATGCACAGAATCACAGAATCACAGAATAGTAGGGGTTGGAAGGGACCTCTGTGG